CCCCATCCCCCAATTCCCCAGCGCTGTTCCCATCCCCAAATTCTCCAATAAAAATCTTAAAAAAAAAAGAATTCCTATTGTGTTCCTCCAGTTATTGTGTCAACCAAAAACACAGCAATAGTTTTAATGTTTAAATGATACAGTTTATAGAAAAGGATATACAAATGGCTCAAGCAGATACCCAAGCTTTTTCTTAAGTGAAAATACAAAATTCCACTGAGGTTTAATCGCCAGAGATTAAAATACCATTCAGATGCAGATTGGCAAAAATCAAAACATTTGATAACCCTGCTTTACAAAGATTTGAAGAAACAGGCACTCTCAACCGTTGGTGGGACTGTAAATTGGCATAATCCTTGTAGAAAGCAATTTGCTAATATCTATCAAAAATGCACAAATTTTTTACCTAGTATTCTAATTAAAATTTTATCTTACAGTAACTCAATGTGCAATAGACCTGTGTACAAGGTTATTAAATGCAGCATTATTTATACTAGCAAAAGATTAGAAAGAAAGTGTTTATCAGCAGGGACTGTTCCAATATTTTACAATACATCAATACAATTAAATCTTACAGTTGTAAAAAAAAAATACTACGTATTGACATGGGACAATCTCAAAAACAACCTTGTAAAGTGAAAAAGGCAAGTTGAAGATAAAAAAATGTTTTTCTTGAGACAAAAATTTGCAATAAAAACTTATGTTCCAACAGAAACACGGAAGTCTTTCAGGTGTAAATTCAAATTAGCAAGTACTATATTTCTTTCATCTGATGGATAAACTTTTCCACAATTCCATTGAGTCTTTCTGGCTCCATCAGTTTATTTACCAATTCCTGTTCAACAGCCATCAGGGCCAAGCCACTGAACTTCACTTGTCCCATGGTATGACATAAATATGTTTTAAGACGAGGTAGTACAGAAAATGAGTTTTCAACGCTTGTTGAAGTAACTGGCCAAGACAAAGCAATATCTAACAGCTTTGATATGCAAGGAATATTATTGTGAAGACCATGCTGAATAAACAAAGAGCCAAGATTGATAAAGTTGATGTTATCATAATCCATGACAAAGTTGAGCTTTGCATATTGCCGATAAAATCTAAGTTCTGGGATGATGTCTGCATCAAGTTTATAAAATTCTTGGATATGTTTGGCTGTTGCTTCACTTAATGGTTCATTCCATTTAAATAATAGTTCTGAAATTTGCTTCATCTTGAAATAATCAAACTCTGAAAAACATAATTTTAAATTTTGTAATATAGCATCTAATCCTTGGTAATAAATATTAATTTTATATTGTTCTTCTGTTGAGGTAGGAAAAAACATACTGCCTGAATTGTCAAGGTCTGTTGTTTTCTGAATTTTTCTTCTTTTCTGAAAAGGTCTTTCAACTTCAAAACCTTTATGAGTTATTTCTTGACATATTTCTTCTGCTCCGTCCCAGATAGTTTTGAAATAGACATCATTTCTTTCAGATGATAAACATTCCATAATTGCTTCTATTTTTGAAGACAAAGAGAAAATGTCTATGGTTTCACTTTGAAGCTCTTTGGAAAGAATTCCTATAACGCTTAATACTCGATAAAGAAATTTTAGACAAAAGATAAATTCAAATTTGGAAACCAGTGTCAACAAATCACTCAATTCATCAGACAAACTTGTATTTGAAGAATGGTTTGATACAATGTTGAGTGTTTCGATAATCTCAGGAAGACCCTCAATCACAGATAGTAATGTATGGTCATGGACTGTCCAACATGATTGTGAGGTATGTTTCTTGCATGTTTTGTTTTGACTTAGGTTACAAATCTTTTGAAAATTTGCAGACATTTCCCCCGACATATGAAGTGTGTTGAACAAAGAACTGAGAATCTTTAGAGTACTTCGGAGTTCTTTTACTTCTTTACAAAACCTAATGACTGCTAAATCCAAAAAATGTGCATAACAATGTACGTATAAAGCTCTTGGCTCTTCCTTCTTGAATTCTGCTGCAACTTTATTAAATTTCACCCTCAAATTAGTGGTACTGTCATAGGCCTGGCCTCGTAATTTATTCAGATCAACTCCAATTTGCTGCAAGTAAGTTGTGATAGTCCTGTGTAAGTTGGTCCCAGTCATCTCTTCAACATCTATGAAACCCAAGAATCTTTCTTTAATTAAAATAGCCTTTGATGTTTTTTGTGGGTATCTTACACAAATTGAAAGCTGTTCTTTAGTGACACTATAAGTTGCCTCATCACATATTATAGAAAAAGCTGAGGAGACATTGATCTCATTCACAATATCTTGCAACATTTCAGTCTTTATTATTTCAATAATATCATTTTGAATTTGTGTACTATTATAGAAGTCAACCTGTGAATTCGTAAGTTGAAATATTTCTTCTCCTTTATCTTTTGCTCTGATTTCTAACAATTCTAAAAAATTGCCTTTATTCACAGATGAAATAGACTGGTCGTTTTCTCCTAAGGGTAAACACTGCTTTCCAAGAAATAAAATATTTTCAATTATAAGCTTTAGGTACTTTGTATTTTCTTCAATCTGTTTTGAATGAATAGATAAATTACCATTGACAGCTTTGTCACAAAACTGGTGTTCCCTCCAAAATTGCAATGACTTCAAATGCATTTTACTTTTTTCATGCTTTCTGAATTTTTCCAGAGTTTTTTTCCAATTAGTAATTCCTTGGGCTGCAAATGATTGCCTTCCATACCTAAAATTTTTTTGGCAGAACAACTGGCATGAATAACAGAATGTTACATTCTTTCTAACACTGTTTTCTAACTGCTGAAAATTTGAACACCAAAATTTTTTAATACTTCGTGATTTACCTTTAACTTTTTGTACTTTGGATGTAAATTTTGGGCGACACAGTCTATCACTTCTTTTCATAGATTCCATACTGCATGCATCATCTTGGTTTGACACTTGCTCTTTCTGTACTTCTATACTGGAGCCAATCGTATGCTGACCGAGTACTGATGAAGATGGTGCAAGACTTGGCTGTTCGACACTGCTACTAGCAACACCACTACTTGACTCACTGGGTGAACTCTTAGGAATCTTTAGAAAATGATAAAATAACATTTGTTTTAACAGTTTTCAAATAGTCAATTAAAATATTAAACACATCTATTCTAGTAACACAATAAAGTGAATGGGCGCATTACAGTATGAGCTCCACTACGGGGAACATTATTATTATAACTTATTTGCACTCTAGATTCAGCATTAACTGTTCAAAGGGTCATTTGGTATGTAATTGTAATAAAAATAATTCTTACTGCTCTGGTGAGTAGAATTGCTTACTAAGTATGAGGAAAAGTAATAACGACCCCAGAGGAAAAACTATGACTAATAATACTTCTGTTTAAATATTCTCATTAATAATTTCAAGTCAAACTTGAGATTTGGGAAACTGAACATAAATATCAAAAGGTGTTTATTGCTCTGCTTTTTTCAGCTGTAGGATCAAAATAGGAGTTAATATGCTCAGATACACACACATATACACACGCACAAAACATACTTTAAAAAGTTGAAGAGCAAAAAAAATAAAACTTACATCTGCAATCACATTTGCTGTTACTGAAGAAACTGTATCTGTTTAAAATAAAGCATAAATTTAAGATCTTATACCATAATCTATAGAATAGCATCATAAACTATAATTGCTTCTTTCATGTCATGCAACAAAAACTTAGAAAACAGACAGATTCATCAAGTATGGCAACAGTACATATGTCAAGTATCTTCATATCAATTTTTACCTTGTAAGACATCAGAGTTCATGATGGGCAGGGCAACATGAGTATCTGCCAACGACACTATATTGCTTATAACTGGAGTCGTATCTTTCTTTGGAGAAAGGAGCTTCTTTGCAGAAAGGAGCTCTGTTGAAGTATCATGCACCATGGAAACATTTACTGATAAAAATAAAAAGATTTCTTATAAGCCAGGCAGAATCAATCAGAAAGTACTGTTTAATAACAAGTGTTTCAACAAACAATGCAAATATCTAATAGCTTTAGGTATTGCTGGGTATTGCAGTAATTTTTTATTAGGGCTTAAGGATAGCCAGTTTCTTTAGGATAACATTAGTAACAACATCAAACTGATAACTTAGATTTCCTATCACTACCTTTGCACACAATTTCTCAGTCTTGATACTATTTGCTTGAAATTTCAAGCATATCTTTTATGTGAAATTACCAATGAAGAACAGAAAAAAGACTCCTATAGAATCTCCTAATGGTATCATTTCTAATTCTTTCAGGATTCACAAATCTCAATACAAATCGAGCTGGGCTGTTGTCTAAGCTAGTACTGCAGAGATGTCTATAATAAGCCAGTTTGCAAGATGTACAAGCCCCAGGGGATCCTTTCACTCCACTGTCTATGTAAATAGCACCACTGTTCCTATACGTGGCTCTTTAATGGAAAACATAGTTGGCCCTGGATCATCTGTGTGTTTTTATTGGTGAACTTCATAAATTATTTCCAACTCGCTCTACTTCTTGTGAAAAACGTTAACCAATAGCATTTTTTTATTTTATTTTTTTAACAAAGCAGGGCTAAGTACAAGATTTTATATTCTAATACAACAGTCTTTATAATTAAATACTAAATCTCTGGTGGTGAAGTAGCCTTCCTTTTACACAAAAATACTGGAAAACATTTCTTTGAAACAAGTTTTGAATGGTTTTCACTTGTAAGACAGTTTAATTTGGAAATGAATCAAGGTTATAAATTAAAGGAAGGAGTAATATTCAATAGTTACTAAACCTCTGATAACTACTAAATAAAAATTACCTGTAGAAGATTCCATCTTAGCTTTACTGTTAGCAGAGAAACAACGAACAGAGCAGAAAAGCTCTGTCTTCCCTGAGTCATTGGTAATCTCAATCATTTCATCTGAGGTCTTCACCGATTTCCAAAGAGCAGATATAAGTGTCTTGGCTGGTTTCTGTTAAGAGATTAAAATAATATTCATGTTCCTGGTATATGACAAGTTATTAACATATTATAAAAACATACCCACTACCACTGCTCTACAAATAATGAAGCCACATTTTTACATTTTTAAAAACCAGAAAAAAAGGTATCATGGATTACAATGATTAACATGCAGGAAATTAGTCAATCTATTAGATAACTATTTGCATTATCTGTCAGATATATTAATAGTAATAATATATATGCAAGCAATGAAGAAAGCGGTCACAGAAGTTCGTTCACCATCCCAAGCAATCGAAGCCAACTTGATAAACAAAAGTCTTATAGGTCTACCCTCAATGCCTATTTGGGTATCAACTTGGGAAAGCCTACTGATGCTAAGGAAGAGCCAGAAAAGGGTGCTTAACACATGTTACAAGATGCTATGAGAGTCGCTGTTTTTCTAGGCTAACTTCATGGTAAAAATTGCAAACAATGAATGAAAGCAGCATACCAGCAGTAAGAGGTGTAGGATATAATGTGTTTAGTAAGCAGTAAGTGTGCAAAGGAAGAGGATATAAACTGAGGTTCACCACCTATTCTTTCTAGTGAAACAGGAACAGTCATTCCTGGACTTAAGAAGTTAACACTGATGGCAGTGATGAAACAGAGCTGCTTTTGGGGGCAAAAAGTGCAGACACATGAAAATACCCTACATGAATTTTGTTTTTCTGTGAAAGAACAGGATACTGGGAAAGGAAGAATGAAACAAAGAATATAATTGTGAAAATTTATATTTTTATCCTTTATTAGTATGCATTTTTGTATTTTGAGAAACCCCTAATTCACCAGTATTTAACATTAACCAAAAATAGTGGTATAATTTATGATTTATTCATATGGGAAAGCTAATAATACTTAATACTTTATTAACAAGAAATGGCCTGAATAATTACAATTATACCAAACCACTTTAAAATACAAAGCCACCTCATTTTTAGATTCACGGATTTGAACATTTTCTACTTAATTACAGTTCACTAACAATTTGGGTTTTCTCCATGACCACTAACACATAATATCTTATATGGTGCACACAGTGTTAGGTGGCGCTTTTTAACTCATCTACAAATCAGCCCTGCCGCATCACATAGGCTGAATAACAGTACTCAACACAGGCTCCTGAAACAGGACACAGTCTATTGAGCGTAAAGGATAAAGAAGGAAAAGAAGGAATGGCATTTCTTGCCTTTGGGAGGCTTCCATGTGTTCCACCCACCCTCCCATTTCTGGTCCCAAGACGAGACTCTCATGGTGTGGGCATTCTGCCATAGAAAAGATGTGGCTCACAATGATCTATTTGAAATGAGGCTTAAGACTCCCATCCTCAAGTGCTTGTTGTTGTTTTTTTTTTAAAGATTTTTATTGGGGAATCGGGGAAGGGGGACAGACAAGTTGCTGTCCTTTTGTTCTAGTCTAACTGTGGAGGATGTCGCTTCACTGGCCCATGTTGGTGCCATCACTGCGCTCTTCCCGGGTGAGGCAGTCGCTCACTGGCCATTGGATGGCCGCTCACGACAGCCCACGCCAGCTGCCGGCCAGCCCCACTGCAGCCTACGCCGTCACGGGCAACTCAATGGCAGCCCAGCTCCAGGTTGAGCTGTTTTTTACCATCTTAGCTGTAGGGGGCGCAGCATTACTGGCCCTCATGTGGGATCCTAACTAGGACCCTGCTGCTCAGAGCTGGCGTCCCAAGCCAACTCCTAAACCAAAGCGCCACTCGGCTGGCCCTCAACTGCTTGTTTTTAAGGAAGAATTTATAGGGATAGAGTTGGGTCTCAAAACATCATCTAAACAAGATATGTTACAGTCCCACCTCATGAAATGGATTCGGGACAACTAATTGTGTTCATCTCAGTCCACCAAAGCAGGGTCAGCTTGTCTGTTCTCAGAACCATCCACTCAAGGTTCTCCTATCAACGGTAGGGGATTATTTCTCATTGGTTTTATTTCCTCATGATTCAGAAAAAGCATGACATTCTTGATTCACCTTAATTAACCTCGCTTAGGTTAAGAATACGAGGAACTAAAAGTAGAAACACTTTTGTGGTTGGGTCTTACTGACCAGTAGACTATAGTTATTTTCACTATCTTTGTTTGTAGTTTATAAACAAGCTTCAATTTGCTTGCCTTTCTTCAAGGTAAGATGATCACCCTGAGATTTTTTAGGAAAATCTCCATATAACACTTATCATGAAGTATAAGGAATTGCAAGAAGGAACTGTCAAGTCTTTTATTTCATCTCCTCCATCATCTTACCAACTGAAACTGTTCTCAATGGTACTAACATCTATATCCCCACATTTTCCTACAGGGGAACCATTCACAAGCCAATTAATGGAAGGAACTCAATCGCTGACTTTTTATTTGAATCCTATGCAGTCAAATTCAAATGGAGTGGTCCTCACTTTAGGCAAGAGATCTTTATTCATACCTGCTTAGATGCTGTAACACTCTTTGAACTATTTAAGTAAAGAGACTGTCCTTCCATCTGAAGTATATGAAACAGACTAGAGCTAGTGTAACAGTAAGCTCCACAGTTCTCACAACAGTTCATGATGAGGTTGTTAGCAGAGTGAAACTTTGAAAAGCAGGCATTACTGCAAAGAGTATGTTTCACGTTCTGGTATTTTACTTCATACTGAATCTAGGATAAAAAATAAAAAAGATTTAGTAAAAATTCTGATATTTAAGAAGAATCAGAGTTCCTAAAGGTTGAAAACAAATTGCAACTTACGAGAGTAGTCTTCTGACATATGTTGCATTTGGTTAAAACACAATTAGTATATATGGTAACAAATGGTTTTCTTTTTCCTTCATATGATAAAAGACAAGATTGACTACAAAAATTTTTGCTAGAGATAGTGTCTTCCAGCGGGACGCTGATCACATCCTTCAGATTTAAAATGTCTCTAAAAAATAAATAACAAGGGCACCATTAAACACTTCACCACAATGATAATTTCTTTCTTTTTATAAGCTAAATCACTCCCTCAAACAACCCTCTCCCCTGTTGTTTCATTTACCTGAAGAGCTGTGAAATAGTAATATCAGCCTTGAAATAAGAAAACCTGAATTTGGTATCTTCTTTCATTTACAATATATTAAGTAACAATGAACAAATCATTTATGCTCCCTAAAGGTTAACTTCCTCATCTATACAGTAGGGACCATAAAACACATCTGATAGTGCAGTTTTAAGAATTAGCTAGCCTGTATTAGTTGGTGCTAGTGATAATACAATGATCAGAAGCCATATTCATACTTGACTGACTTTAGAATTGGACAGATTTCAAAAGCTGGTCTGCAAATCCCTGGGGATCCCCCAGATACTTTCAGGGGTTCCACAAGATCAAAACTATTTTCATATTAAGGTGTTTTGCCTTTTTCACTGTGTTGACATTTGAACTGATGGTGCAAAAGCAACGGTGGGCCCCTGCAATTCCACTCCTAGGTTTATACCCTAAAGGATTGAAAACAAGTACTCAAAAGAAGTACATGTACATGCATGTTCATAAAAGCACTATTCACAACAGCCAAAGGACAGAAATAGCCCAAATGTTCATCAGTGAATGGAAGGATAAACAAATTGTGTGTGGTATGTTCATGCAGTGGCATATTACTCATCTATAAAAAAGAACAAAGTACTGATATACATGCTACAAAATGGATGAACCTCGAAATCATCCTAAGGGAAAAAAGTCAGACGAAAAAGGTCACATGTTGTATGATCCCATTTATATGAAATATCCAGAATAGATAAAATCCATAGACAGAAAGTAGGTTGGTGGTTGCCAGGGGCTGAGGGGAGACAATGGGAAAAGGGGAGAAAGTGCTTAATGAATAAAGCAATTGACTTTGGAGTGATAGAAATGTTTTAGAACTAGATAACAGTGTTAGAAAGTGCTACTGAAATGGTTTTTTGTTATATGAATTTCACCTCAATAAACTAGGAGGGGAAAAAGCAATGGTGGGTAAAACTGCCAGAGCCTTAGCACAAATCAAGGCAGTGGCACTAAAATGTACCAGTACTACTGTTACTGCCATGCATTCCCTGTAAAAAATTACTGACTTTATTACTTGATTCTTGAGTACATCACATCTTCTTAATATTCTGTGTGATGCATGGGATAGAGGCATAAAGTATTTCCCCTGCATGTCAACATATAATGGTTGCCTCAAGGAAAACCTCATGTGGGAATGTTGAGTTACAACCTGAGTTAGCTACCATTCTCATGGAATACACTGTTACTTGAAAGAACAAGTATCAGATAAACAATTATCCAGAAGTGGATACCTGGCAGGTATTTTCTCAAAAATGAGTAAAGCAAGACTGTTACTTAAAGAAAAACAACTGTCATGTCCCAAAACAAGTATCATTGCCAATGATAAAAGTTGAGCTTTCACTGAAAATAAGAATTTTGGAAAACTTGTATCTGCCACCTCCAGCTTAATCGCTTCCCAAAACTTGAAGAGTTTCCTAATAAGATTAGTGATTTTTAGAAACAAATGTGGTTTTTAAAATATTGCATAATGAAATATGTCAACATCTGGAAGATCTGCATAACTCAGTGAACCAATATTTTCAAATGATTGCATGTAACAAAAATCATTTACAGGTAAAAGGACCAAAGTACAAATACACCAATGAATTTTAATATAACAGTACAAAAACGTTACTGATATGGTTTCAGATTCCACATTACAACTAACCTTTAAAAAACTACCCTTTGTTTACTGATGTTGTATCAAAAAAGAGCATCCACAATTATCTGAAAGGCTAGCAGAATGCATCTCCCTTTTCCAATTATTATAAGGCCAGACTTTCTTCAGACTTCAACCAAAACAATATTTTGCAACAAACCGAAAGCAGAAGCAGATATGAAAACTCAGCCAGACATTAAATTGTTTTGCAAAACGGATAAAACAGTGCTCACTAAATTTTTCTTAAAATTTCTCTTCTCACTAAGTTAAATATATATGGCTATTTTTCATTAAAATATTTATGTCAACATGCACCGAGTTTATTATTTTAAATGGGTTAACAAAATAAATGTTCTCAGTTTTAATTTCTAACACAGTGTATACTGGTAGACATAACCTACCTAAAACTAAAGCTCTTTGGGTCTTCAATAATTTTTTTAAGAGTGTGAAAGGGAAAATTTAAGAACTGCTGCTACAGGAAATACCAAGATACCTGTGGCTACCTAGAACCCTCAGAATAGCAATCTTTCAGGATAATAGTTTTTCAGATGAAATACCCCTAAAATTAACATTTCCAAATTTTTTAATGTATGATTTTTCCATCCTCTTAAACAGATGGTACCCAAAACAACAGGCTCATTTCATTATCACGTCATCATTTTACTGGTTTAAAATACAGCTCTAAATGCGGTATCTAAGTTATGCTATCCTTGTAGTTCATTGGACAAAAATTCTTCTAGGATTCACTGTGTGCCAGGCAGTGGTTAGGCCTTGGGGACAGAAAGATGACAATAATCTAGTCCCCACTGGTGAGAGGGTCATAGTCTAATCTGGGTAATATCAATTCTTTAAAAACATTACTTTTATGATCGATGCTTTAGGAGTCAAAAACTATCAAAACACAAATCATAGAACAATTAATCTGGGTGAATGGCATGGTTGTGAGAGGAAGGGTATGAGAATAGACAAGAGGTACAGATACTTGAGGCAGACCTTTAGGATGCAAAATTAGTCAGATGGGAAGGGAGGCAGAAGAAATTGCATTGACAGAAGCATGGAAGTGAAAATGCTTTCTGGTTTATACTGCTATTAGCATACTAGATTGCTGGCTTCTACTTTATTAAATTAATAAAAAATCAAAAAGTGAATTTTGTTAAAAGTGCCTACAATTAGCTTTAAAAGACTGAGCATACACCTGAAACTAATTAAAAAATAAAAATAAAATGATGAAAACACAAGGTAAAAAAATAAAGACTAAGTGTAAGTCGGAGAACTTTCCTATAAATAAGTGTTATAGCATTAGTGCATGGGCCTATTTTGAATTCTACTGATTGCTCTCAAGATTTCTGATTGGTTCCAACGAGAGTGCAGAAATGACACTTCTTAAATATATAACTCCCAAAAAAATCTAATGGCTTAAAATGTCATTTTCAAAGCTACTTTTCATTTGGTTCATGAAAATAGAGTAAAAACTTCATTAACTCAAAAACAGATTTTAGGGCCAGGCAAGTGGCGCACTGGTTAGGAGTTGGCTTGGGACGCCAGCTCTGAGCAGCAAGGCCCCGGTTCAGATCCCACATGAGGGCCAGTGACGCTGCACCCTCTACAGCTAAGATGGTGAACAACAGCTCGACCTGGAGGTGGGCTGCCGTGAGTC